GTGGCTCGATAACGAAAAATCTAAGCCATTCCAACTTCGATATCTCACCTAGTTAAGCTTTCATTCCGTACTTAGCACTGAGACAGATATGGCGTGGCTAATACAGTTAAGTGTTTGCTTTCTTAGTAGGGTGTGTCATCGAGGGGGTGAATCTCTCCGAATCAGCTGAGACAAAGTTTTTCCTTGCCACACGGATTGATGATAAACATTTAAGTCTGTCGCATCTCACCAATGTTGATATTCGTCGGTCGCGAGTAGTTTTTCTTCCATTGGCCAAGAAAACCGTATTCGATACTAGCGCCACCTATTTTACGCACTGAGGACATCATCCAACACGCCCCAAAGCTGCCACTTTCCACACTATTGGTACTTGGTGGATTAAGCATGACGTAGATATCATGAAGAGCACCAGTAAAGTATTGCCAAACAGCTTTTAAGCCGACTTTTTAGTAAGAAACAACTTATTTTTGGTAAAACCCAAAGCTGCGCAGTTATGAGAATCCTGTAGCAGACCGGGATAGGTTCAAGTTTGTTATTGCTAGCGCATCATCGCGATGTTGATTTGCAATTTATGAGCTTTTTGCGCGGGAGATATGGGCTTATTGGTTTAGCTTTCCCGGTACTGAAAGGTTTCTTTCCGACAATTACTTGCATAAGCATGCCAAACGCTAAGCGGCCTAGCAGAAAACATTTTGTGATAGGCCACCCGGCTCCACCGTCCCACCACCAACTGCCGACTACGGGAAAGCCTGGAGCTATATGAGGTGGCTGAGCGAATCGAAAAGGAATCTCACTAATACCATCTTCAAGACCGCGACGGTAGAAACCAGGGAACTGTGGACCAACGAAGCGATCCCTGCTCATGATCTAAAATGCGTGACAAAGTTGATCGAAAGGGATTTATATCATCCCAACACAGCTATCAGCAAGAAATCAAAGAAAGAGAGTCACAGCAACGCCGCCACCGCGAAGTTCAACAAGCTTCTTGATGTCGCGGAATGCAAGTGCAAACTTCAGTGCAGCTTTCCATGCCCAGTCGTCTGCACAGTGCATCAGGAGGAGGTTGCCATGAGGGACCAGTGCAGGTACCGGAAGCTTACCCTGGGGTCATATGACCGGGATACGATTGTGACTAGGGAGGCCCGCGAGGTGCGGAGGATGGCCAGACAACTTCAGGGGTGTCGTGGCTTGGCCACCAGTGAGGCGGTGTCTGCTGCTGAACCTGAGTCGCCTTCCCCGCCGGATGCTGAGCCAGCGCTGGCTGCTAGTGCTGACCCCGAGCCTGCTCCGGGACCAAGTGGTCTTAGCGCTGGCGAGTCAGCCGAGATTCTTACACGGTTCCGTACATGGTGGAAAGGTGGCGACGACACCGATTGTTCGTTCCGGTTGAGATCACTGCCAATGTAGATTATAGCGTAAACGATCTGACTTACACCACTCTGGCGGTTGACAGCTGCGGTGGCTCGAACCGGGCCGCTGCTGCTATTATCAACGCCTTTCAACAAGGACAGCAGAGACGGGCTGGCTACTTGAAATCAAATATCGTAGATCCTAAGATCTGCCGCGCAAGAGACAGAGGGAGAAGAGAGCTGGCTGGTTAAAATTTTGAAGCAATCCATGAGTCAGGTTTGACCATCCTCTACGACGGCCGTGAAGGCAGGAATTACATGCAGCCACACCGAGCCAGACGAATGCCGGCGAAAAACATGTGGTTGTCATCACTGAGCCAGGCAGCCGCCACGTGACTCATTTTACGTCCGAGTTCGGCCGCGCCCCGCACTTGTTCAGCTGCACGACGGCAACGGCTGCTGCTTGCTGCACGGCAACGAGCTGAACCTCTTCCATCTGCTGCTGAGCTTGGATGGCACGACCACGGGATCGAATTTTTTTCTAGTCCTATGGGCAAGGCCTGTGCTGGAGAGGTCTGAGAGAGGGACGCAGCTGGCATTGAAGCTTGGTCGGGGCCCGTGCCAAACCTGCCGGTCGACCTGATTCAGCAGCTGAGCACCAACCTAGCAGCTGCTGTACCTTTTGGCCTCCGGCGTTCAAAACGGCTGTCTGAAATGTGGCGGCTCAGCAGCGAATCGGACAATCCAACCATGTCAGGTGAATATGAAAACGCATTATCCTTAAAGTTATAGCATTCAGTGTTTAAAGTTCATCAAGTATCATTTGATATTTCGTATGCTCACTGTTGAGTATTTACTTATTATCATACTTTGTGCCGTGTTATGTCGCATCATTTGCTGGTTGGTTCATGCTTACTAACATGTTTTTTGTATGTATTCTGTCACATTTAAGGACTCTGGAATAATGCATGCAATAAAGGGGCACACTAATTTTGCATGATCTAATGCTCAGTTCGTAGCAAATTGTTCTAATAAATTCGCTTTTGTTTTCAGATGGTTGACACTGGCCGCTCGCCTGCTCCTAGTTAGCATTTCTACCGAGACCTCCAGCAGCGCTCTCAATGACCTCGTCCAGTGCATGGTCGGCCACTATGTGCCGGTATGGTCCGCCATCCGGCAGAACAGCGGCTGGGACTTTGGCTTATGCAGCTTGTTCCGGAGCATCGCGGTGCTCCGCGACCTGCTGCGGCACACATAGTCCTCCAGCGTAGCGGGCACTGGGTCCGTCCGGAACAGCTACTGCTGGGCATGGTGTGGCATGAGAACCGCGTGGCCCGCGAACAGGCGGTTCCGATCGTCGCGCCGCTCGTGAGCAACAAACCGACGGCCTTCTTCAGGTCAGGGTCTTCGCCATCTCAGCGGTAAACCTCGAGGCCGTGATGTACACCGAACTGATTCCCTGGCACGGACCAGTCACACAGGCCCTACTGCGAGACCTCAGCGACTGCGAGCTGCGGGACAAAGTGCAGGCACCGCTGACCATCTTGCCTATCTGGTTCACACTAGGAGTGCGACGCAGCGCCGCACTGCCGAGGACGTCTGCGGCTGGAGCTGGAGCTTCGGCAATATGTGGAGCCCAGCTGCGACGGTATTTCTGCTACCGTGCAATCTCTGCCAATACGCGTTTTGGGTTTCTTGTCTGTGAGCAGTTGCTGTTTGGGCCGGTGCATCGAATACACAGGCTCGGCAAAGAGCAAGATGTGCATGGGGTCACCCTACCCCCCCCCCCCCCCCTCTGCGTTCGTGGTGCAGGGCTGCAGAACTCGCTGTATGTACTAAGTTGTACATCAGACAATATACTTTGAGTCATATGCTATGCATAGTTTTGTTTGCATCACGCGAGTCGTCTTAGAGAAGTGAAAGTCTAAAGCAATACTAGCCAACATACCCGTACAACGAGTTCATATCCAGCACATAAAGTTTCCGCCAAATGGCAATCAATCGGGCAACGCCTGATCCGCATATTAGACCTTAGACCGGGACATTCTCGTACGACGGCTTAAGGAGCGCTCGGTGGCGTCATTTCTATAGGCAAAGGTATTTTGTGTCGCTTGCCGCCCACGGCTTGGTGTTACTTGCAGCGGTGGGCGCCGCCCAGCATCGGGTGACTGCAACGCCGGGCATTGGTTTACGGCGATATCTCGATCGACCCGCGCCTCCCGAATTTCAGTTTTTGGGAAGAACTTTTGCTATGCCGTGTACTTTTGGGCTCTTGCGCCAAATAATTTCTCTGTCTCACTTGGTTTTGTTACTGATGACACACTTTATTGCATAGCCTTCGTTGAAGCGCTGTATAACCTTGGGTAAAAAGCATAGATCGTATTGCATCTGTCAAAGGTGTATTAACTAATCCTGTATATCTATAGTGAAGGTTTACAAACACTTTGGTGGATTCAGTCATCATGGAAGCGAAATTCAGACCATCTCTCTTACCGTTATCTTAAATACAGAGCTGTTCTTGCTTATCTCCCACATCAATCTTGTAGGCTGGTGAGTGTGATTGATATTTTAATTTTTGCGGGTGCGCTGAGTGACCCTGTCTGCCTGCAAAACGAGCCAAATATGCTGATTTTTATTGTTAATGTGGGCAGAAGTGACCCTGGCTTTAAAAGCTTTAAAAAGAGTAATTTTTGCCTGGTTGGGGCACTTACTCCTAACCTTACCAACCTCCAACACATGATCTATAACCATATGGACGTTTTCCGGAAATGGCCTTATGATGATCTACGATGTCAGAAAATGCAAAATTGACATTTATGAGATTGATTCCATGTGTACTTCGAATCGACGCTTTTGTCATAAAATGAAACGAAAATTTACTAAGGGGCGTGCTTACCTTCGCGACCCAAGCAAACAGTCCTTAAAAGCGAATGAACCCGGTTGCCACACGCAACACGGTCACGCGCCAAAAAGTTTTCGTGCCGAAGATTCGGATTTGGCTTAACCTCACGCAAACACTGTGGCATTGACAATACAACTAATGTCTGCTTGGTAACGTCGTTTAGCCAGTGCCTTCTAACATATGACAAGTCTGTAACTGTCAGCATAAAAACTCAAACCCACTCCTAGTGGTGAAAAACAGAATCTCAAGGTCTTTCCTACTTACATAATTTGTGTGCTTTTAACGGACTTTTACGCTGTTTGTCATTTACTGGCAGTATGCACAGATAAGGATGAAAATGCAACAAGAGTGTATAATATGTATCAATTGCAGATAGCGTGAATGACGAACTCGATTTCGCTCCTTCCAGAGATCCATCTGCAATATGCAAATATGGCATGACATCATACACTATCACCCATTCCTAGATTCCTGTGTCTGTAGAGAAAATTATGATGAATTTGAAAATATCAATGGTGCAAGCACGATGTTTTCTTGAACTCACACCTACCATTGCAGCCTGTTTGATAATTTATCCAAACATTTGTATGGTTATGCTTTAAGGTATGCTTATATTCAAGTTGATTGAATCAAAATGGCTTCTAGAAACAAAACAATACCCTGCTCACCTGTAAGAGCTAAAAATGGCTGGTAAATGCTATTTGTGTGATTTTCAAAACAGGACACAAAACAAGAAGCACATGACCCACCTCATTGTCAGATCACACATGGGCCCAATGGGCCCACATGAAGAAAAAATCTGGTGACTTGAATGTCACCTCTATACACTCTACAATCACCCCAAAGGCTGCAGAGGGGGAAGGCTGGACCACAGCCAACAAGACTGACTTGTGCATGGCAAGAACCGTGTATGTATGACAAGCATTCAGGTGACTGAAAAGGGGGTTGAACAATCATATCTTGATAACATCAAGAAGTTTTCATAAAGCAATCAGCTTTTAAACAACTTCATCGGTGAACAGCTGAGGCGCCATGTTTTCTGTAAGAGCAGATACAAGAACAGGTCAGTCAACAGATGGGCCATGATGATACCCCAGGCAATATAGCCAAGTTGATGCTAAAAAATATTTTCTGGCATCCAAAGATATTCAAAATCTGTTTTAAGGGAAGTTTTTTCACAACAAGGCTTGAGGTTAACATGTGCCCAGGTGGCTGGTTGGATACCCTTTGCTTGGGTGGGGTGTCAATTAGCCCCCCCCCCCCCAAGATCTTCGGAACTAAGAGGGCTTGACACCAAATATACAGTAAGCTTTGACATGTATATGAACTCCCTACGTCAAAGCTTGAGGTTCCTAGGTTGTGACCTTTGGGTAAAATAAGGTCTAACAAGGTCAAACTCTGAGTTGGTCTCTAGTGTCCCCAGTGCCTAGATATCTCTTCTAAGGAAAAGGTCCCATGCCCATGCAAGATTGGTGATCTCATTTGACCTTTCCAAGGTGATGGTGACCAAAATCATAGAACCATAGCTTTGAGATTTGCATTTGAATAAACAACAAAAATTAGGCTTGGAAGTGTGCTCCTAAAAACAAAATGTTGACCTGGGTCAGTTTGGATCAGTGACCTACTGTAATCTATAAGAAGTATATGGAAGATGTCTAATGTGGTTCCTGTTTTCAATAAATTTGAAATGAGCACTGAAAACTACTGCACACAACAAGCCACAGAGTAATAAAATAGGTTGGTTTTGACCTCGGTCTGACCTTCATATCCAACCCTAGGTCAATGGATTTTGATCATTTAATCATTGTGTTGCCTAAGAAAGTATTTCAGAGAAGTGTGGTTTTGTCTAATGCTCCAGTGTTCCATTAGATGGAAAAATTCCTTAGAAATTTACTTTTCTGAATTAATTGCCTGACTTTGCCCTGCTGTCAGCCTGTGTCCTTACAAGGTATATCTAAATGTTTGATACCACATGATCTGTTATTCAATTGTCTACAGCTGTGCATAATCTTTCATGGCTATGTCACATTGTTCAGAAACCACTTTGGAAAACCCCTCAGGGGGTCAATTTCACCCACACCTGAGCACTTGTTAGAGTAAGCAATATTTGTTAACTTTTCTTTCAAAATCAGCATACATCTGTCACCTTGGTCCCCTCCCCTGGGCCAGGCTTGGAAGAGCAGACAACATTCCAGATAAATCTTCAGGTTACATGTCCACAAAAAACATGCAATGAATGTAAGCACTCAAATGAGAGCAAAGAAATGAACTGGTTCTTTAAAATTTCCACTCTTGCCCCACACAACACAACATCTCAAACCCAACACTCACCAAACATGGCAAAATTCCTAGTCATGTCACACATCTCCATAAAGCACAGAAATATGTCTACATCCCGACAGCTTGCTAAGTTTGAACATCTGCCTTTAATGCTGGCTGATACAAAAGACAGCCTGATAATAACAATATAAATAGGTGCTACCAGGGGCTAGTTTTGCAGCATGAGTTTATGGCTAAGCAGTGGGAACTGGGAAATGACAAAATTTACCTGAAAAAGAACACAAACACATTTCTCCAAAAATTGTGTCCAGCTCCTTCCTACAATTGAGGGTCATCAAAGCCAATTATTTACCCCTGAGACCAATCCTGCTCTGCTAGCCACCAAAACTGAATTTGCAGTCTTGCCCCACCCCCATGCCCTCCATCCCAAGGCCCAATGACTTAAGCTACTTCAGAAGGTTGTACCAATATTATATATCTACATATATTGCTCAGATAGATCGGTAAAAAAACTCAGGAAGTATAACCCAGCTCCACACACCAGCATTCACTTACCTCATATGTTCCGAGGCCCAAGCTCCTAAACCGTGCAGAACCAGCTTCCCAACAGCCCTCAATATCTGCAAATGCTACCAACGTTCCACGCGCGAGGTTTCCAAACGTGGGGAGCTGTCGGGCAGGAGGGGAATGCCGTGCGTAGGCTTTGCCGCAAGTCGGGTCTGCATCCGCACCATACCGGGCCGTGACGTCACTGGTGCTGAGAATACCAGCCGGCCGCCACCCGCCAACCGCGGGTGTAATGCTGTGGGGCAGCCGGAACATAGCAGATTTCCGCACAGCTAATGAACAGACTTCTCGCGGGGATGAGAATGAGATCAGCAAGCCCATTGTTTTTAAATCTAAGCGCCAGTATGGTGCAGTGTTTTGCAATTCCAAGCAGCAGACTGTTAAAGGTTTAAAGGTTTGTTTTTAAAAGCATTTCAAGAGCTTAGTATGGCCTACCACATATGTATAAAAAAGCTGCTACAGGTGCCACGCTGGACAAGCAACCATGACCTGTGTAAAGGGCTTGATCTTTTCCCATGTCCCATGACAGCAGCTAGTCGGCAACTGATACTCAACCGAGGATTCATATCCAGTGTAGACAGCATTGTTTAGTACATTTCATGCAAGCGAAGTGAAGGTTGGTGGCATCATTGCCACGAAACATGTGCATGTCCGACATGAGTACGATTGCATTGCATTGGACCTTCAGGCAGTCAGCAGGCCAGATATTTGGAACATCTTCATCGCCCATCTGGTTCGGTTTGTCCCTGATCGCCACCAAATGCGCGCACCGGGTCATGACCCTGAATAAGGTTCTCTGACCTGTCAAGGAAGTACTCGGAGTTTTGCCTGCTGTCTTGCTCTTTGCTTTTGTGCATGTGTGTGTGTGTGTGTGTGTGTGTGTGTGTGTGTGTGTGTGTGTGTGTGTGTGTGTGTGTGTGTGTGTGTGTGTGTTTTATATGCCTGTATGTGTCAAGATACGCGTCAACCTGGTGGTGCGAAATCAATTGCATTATCATTTTGTTGATTGAAGGTCAAGGGCATAGAAAAGTGCAAACTTTGGACACAGGGTTTATTCTACGTAGTGCGAATCTTTCATCGGGAAGTCTTCGTTTCAATAAAGCACAAGCTATTAGAACCTCGGTCATATTGCCAGGAAAGCCATGGTGTATATTTAAACGACGCATTTGATGATGTACTTTGCAAGCTTATGCGGTCGACCGTTACAATGCAGTGAGATATAAAAAGTAGAAACGTTCGTGCGAGAGCTGATGCAGAGAAAGGGTGGCCGGGACATCAAGCTGCCTACGTGCCGGCAGTGAGAAAACTGTTGGAGTCGGTGGAGATGAACTATTGGAGCTGCAGCAGCCTAGTCATCGGAGTGCCTTCTAAAAGAGAGTGTTCCACATTTGAAGATATTGAAACAATTTTTACTATGATGCATCAAATTCACTTGTAACTATCTGCATCACAGGTGTCGACTTGCATTCTTTTGAGAGGGTCCTGCTCCCCCCCCCCCCCACCCAATGTTGAGTTGCCCCTCCCCCCCCATGTTGGCTTGGCCCCCAATGTTTTTGGCTGGAATACTACAACAACGTTGGTAAAAGGTGGTTACAACATAAATGGCTATCTTCTTTGAGTTTTCTGCATAGCGGCGTCTGGGCGTTTCTTATCACTCTCATAACAAAAAGTCATAGCTGCTCTCACCGCAAGATACGAATCGTTGCAGCTGAGCGGATAAACGATGCAGTAAAATTCACATACCCAGCGACATAAGACAAGCAATATTTATGAGGTTTAAGTAAAAAGCTCTGAAATATGGGGATGACCTAAGTCCATCATGGCTAACCCGGTCCCCGTTCCCCATGACCGAAATGCGTGCTTTCTCCCATGACCGCCCTTGAAGAGCTCCATCGGCGCCCTAAGATGGCTTTTAAAGGAGTGCCTCCACGTGCCGATCAGCAGAGACGCGCGCGTCCAGTGCCTGCTACCAGGATCCAACCCTGCATGACTTTTGTACTGCCTAAATTAAAGACTTTTATGAATCATACAAAGATTGAAAATATATCTAGCGTTTAATCAAAACAGAGTGGGCTAAGCAGGTGAGAAACATGAGGGGGGAGGGGAAGGTTGTCAGGCCTTCGGCTAGGCCATCCCAATAATTAACAAAACTTGACGCCCCTGATCTGCATGGTTCGAAGTGCAAATGACTGCCCCAGACAACACAATTTTACTATTTAGTAAAGATGCTCTTCAATACGTCAACTTTCAATTGCGTCATGGAAAGATTGTATGACGTCCGTGTGGCGTTCAAAATTGATCGAATTTCGACTGGTCGTTCGAAATTGACGCATGACTGATTCACCTGCAGTACTTTAACCTGTCGAGAGATATGGGGTTAATCGGTGCTCTGCTTGCACAACTCAAATGTCGTTATTTGCGCGCATTTTGTCTCTTCCTCGTGGTGTTCTTACACATTTGTCCGTGATCTTACAGTGTTAACATGCATTCATACGTTCGGTTATGACGTGTTTTTTTTAACTAGATTCCCAGTATTATTTCCTCCATAACTCGTACCACTGTCTATCCTCCTGTATTATGTAGCACAGAAAGTGATTATTGTTCGATCTAATCCGTCCCTTTTATCCCCTGTCTTGCTTCATCCTGCGTCCTCGCGACACCCTTCTTGTCCGGGGCAGGCTGCATGCGTGGGCCGAGAGCCCCGTGGAGAGGGGGACCCCGACCGACTATATAGAGCACATGCGCGGTCTAAAGCTCGACAGTGGGCCTCTCAGGCGCATGCAAGCCTGCCCCATCGTTAACGATTTTCCTTCATCCATTAGCCCTGAAATGATCATTTCTGGTCGAAGGGCCTCTTATCCCAATCAAACTAGCGTTTGAAGCTTGCACTGAAAACATTACGCTCGTCGAGAGCCAATTGAATTTCGTTGGTGCCAGAAATCGTACCCTACACACGCCTGCGTTACGCCGGATGATCATAATTTCCTTGGCCTTGAACAACCCATGGCCAATAAAGTGGCAGCATGTGCATTATTTTTATATGGTGTTCTGCATGTCTGGGTGACCTTGAAATAGTCTCCGCAAGTTCGCTGTCGTCAAGCTCAGAAACCAGTGAGTTTTAAGTCTGTGAAAGAACAGGGCTGTGCACTGCACTGAATGATCTTGAAAAATGGCTTGATCAGTTCAAAACGCAATACAAATGTGAAGCCCTCCGTTTAAAAGGAAAGTAGATTATTGATGAGAGTTCTTTGTTCGTTGTTGTTGGTTGTTCATTGGTTGAACAACTAGCCATGGCCGTAATCACCATTGGGGTGGGTGGGGTTCGGTTTTTGGTAACTTAAGGACAAATTGGACTTGAGGATGTAACACAATCAAGAGCACCCGCTAACTGCACATAAGCTTCATGCAACTAGAAAATGGCAAAACTTGAGGTGCCCACCAAGGTGGTAGATCGCCACCACATAAATCCCGATGAACGCAACGGGTCTGGATAGGTAGGTAGGTATGTGGCGTATCAATACAAGCCATCATCCACCCCAGGTGGCAGCTTAATAGAGGACTTTATGGTTTAAGTAACCACATGGGTAGCCATATGTAACTAGTTGGATTGGAAACACATTCTGGAGAGACCGGGTAGGAAGTTTACAGAGTGGTGAGTAGACACGTCAAAAAATATTGCGCAGTGTCGCTGCTGGAGCATTTCCGAATTACAAAATGACCCCGGTCTCACCTTTTTGTAATCATCGACACAATCCAGTAAGCTTGGTAGCAAATTTTTCAGTAAGTTTCTAAATTCAGAACTTCAGTGCTGGAAAATGCAAACGAGAGGAAAGTGGGTGGATACAACAAAGAAATGGGTTGCGGGCGGACACGGGCATAATCCAATGAGTAGCGGTGGGGGAGGTCACAGAAATCTTACCCGTGGAGGCCCGGCCTTCACAGGTAAGTAGAGGCCTCTCAGTAGAGGCTCTACCACCTATACGGGGAAACTTTCTAATTCTTAGAATACCGCATACAAAATATTGCTATCTGCAGAAAGAAATGCTTCATGACCATAACACATACACTTGTGCAACATTCTCCACCAGGCACCTCACTCGTCATCAAAGTATCTGGAGCAAATGGCTAAGGATTAACTGCAGCTCTTAACAGACTCGACACTCATCGCATGACCGTTTCAGTACGAGGAAGTGGCCCCAGGCCCGATAAGATTGGTAACTCGGCATCGGTAACCTTATACGACCGACTCCCTGAGTATATTCTCGTGCATATTCCATTAACACGCGCTCGGGTGGTGGTGGGGCTCAAGTCGCCCCTCCCCCCCTTCAGGTCTTTCCGGAATGGTTTCCGAACGGCGTGGTGCAGTCGCGCCAAATTTTGGTATTGCTGTAAACAGTTGAATAGCAGATCGTCTGACATCACTGATTTAGGTGCACCTTGTAAGGTCGCTGACCTATGACAGGTCAAAGTCCGGCAATGATTTCAGCGAAGGCAATTTCTAGGGAATCGTTCAATCTGATCCAACAACGGAGTGTTAGACGAAGCCAAACATATCTGAGATACCTTCTTAGGCAACACAACACCTGAATGAGTAAATAACATTGACCTACGTTCAGATATGAAGGTCAGACCAAGGTTAAAACCAAACTGCTTTATTACTGTAGAGCTTGCTGCATGGGGTAGTTTCGGGTACTCATTTCGAATTTATGGATAACAGAAAGCATATTATACACCTTACATGGACTTCTTAAAGGTCAGAATAGGTCACTGGCCCAAAAAGGCCCAGGTCAGCGATTTGCTTTTAGGAACATACTGCCTAGCCTACTCTTTGTCGCTTATTCAATCGCCAAGCTCAAAGCAGTCTTGCATTATTCTGGTCGCATGACCTTGAAAAGTTCCAAAAAGTTCACTGACCTTGAATGACCGTATAGAACAGTTATCTAGGTGCTGGGGGCTCTTTGGAGACCAGCCTGGGATTTGACCTTGTTTGACCTTATTTGACAGGAATGTTATGACCTTGGAACCTCAAACTTTGCCCTAAGCGATTTCGCGCACAGGTCAATA